TAGGAAGGATAACCGCCGCTAGAAGGACATAGCCCAGGGTATCAAGAAGGAAACGAGTGCCAGGAAAGAAAAGAAGAAAAGTTAATTAGTACTGCCCAGCTAAATCAATCATACACACCTCAACTTACCTTTAGTAACGCAAAATTTGGACCGGTGAAGTGACTGACTCGCCATTTTCCGGCCCAACAATTTGGTGGTGACTGTGAGGTCCAACGTCTCGTTACCCCCCCCCTCTCCCGATAAAATTGTGCGGATTAAAATTTGTTAATTAAAGAAAAGAAGCTGCAAGAGAAGTGCAAATAGGAAAAGACACGAAATAAAGAAGCATACCGGTTGGGTAAGAACTATTGTATTTCTATTATTTCGTTGTTCCCTGAAAAGAGAGGAAATAGCAATGGAAGAAAGAAGGTTAGAGGAAACCGGACTCGACGAATTCCACGAAACAGAACCAATAGATAATAGCAGGGAAAGTTTCTTGCGAGAGGATGCCACGTTTAGGCCCGGGTTCTGGAAAGAAATCGCACGAGTATTTAAGGAGGTCAACCAGAAGGAAGTGGGTGAAAGTAACTTGGTAAAGGTACCGAAGTTTCACGGAGAAGAGGAAGAAGACCCGTTTGAATGGCTCGAAAAGTATGAAAGTGCTGCTGACACAAATAATTGGGTAGCGAAAAGAAGGATACAGATTGCTACAGGGTATCTCGAAGATGAGGCCGCAGACTGGTACCGTGATCATAAGAAACTAATCAGGAATTGGAATAACGATGACAATCGAGATCGAAGTTTCGTTCCCCTATTCCTGAAAACCTTCGCTACGAAAGAATTAAAGCAGCAATGGTACGAGGACCTCATGTTAATAGAACAAAAAGATGATGAGAAAGTGAGAACGTATGCTGCAAGATTCCGAAGGTTACTGAGGAAAGCGGACCCCGACGACATGTTCCTTCAAAATCATATTGTCCGTCTTTTTACCAGAGGTCTCAAGGGCGAAATAGCGTCACTGCTATATATTGCTGGACCAAGAGATCTGGAAGATGCCATCAAAGTCGCTAAAGAAATTGAAGTAGGAAAGCAGTACGAGAAAAGAGGGAGGAAAAAGTCTGAGAAAGGGGATAATAAGCTGAAAAAGGACGTAGAAGCATTGACGCAGCAAATGCATCGTCTTGTTAGTGTTATCACAACACAGGCTGAGGGTAGCAGTGCTAAACAAAAGCCACGAACGAATGAATATTACACATGTGGAGAGAAGGGGCATTTTGCACGAGATTGCCCATTGACGCGACGACCTGCTATGTTGACTGCTGGACCTAGTACTGGACGATCAACTGAAGCCCGTTTCGGAGAAGTAGTAGAGGTCTATCAGGTATCAGACGAGGAAGAAGGAATGTCGTATGCCAGTCGACCCCAAAAACCTTAACCAAGAAGTGAATCAATATGGAAAGGTTGGTTACGATCCCAAAGGAAACCAGAAGAAAAGGGTAAAGATAAAGCAAAAGTAGAAGTACCTCCCGTAATGCGAGCAGAGCCACGAGTACAATCCATTGTACAAAAAGTTCCGACAGTGCAGCCTGTAGTCCAGATAGAACAACCAACACCAATGGAAGACGAAGATGAGGTGATGGAAGAAGCAACACCCGTAACGTCAACCTCATCACCATCGTCAAAACCAAAGAGACTTAGGCAGAAGAAAGGCCCATCACAAATAGAGTCAGTGTCTAAATATAACATCATAGAAGATTTGTTTAATACGCTTGCTAATGTGTCGATAGGACAAATGTTGAGTATTTTTGAGCAACAACGAAATCTTGCTAATGCATTGAAAAGACCTTACGTAGAGCAAGAAGTTAATCACATCAAGGTCGAAAGAAGAATGAACGCCACGAGGTGTAAAATCAAAATTAAGGGAATATCTGTGATAGCCATTGCTGACACAGGAGCTGTCGCAAGCTTCATGTCCAAGAGGCTGATGGATCGATTGGGCTTGAAGATAGAAGGGAAATCAATGATGTCGATTATCTCAATCACCGGTAATAGAACGAGGGCGTTGGGACGAATCAACAATTTGGAAATCACCATTTGTAATATCCCTATCCCTTGCCCGTTGCAAATAATTGACTCTGATGAAGAAACCTTATTGCTAGGAAGAGATTGGTTAGAACGGGTACAAGCGAGTATCTGCTTTAACAAAAGAATGATCACGTTCCAGTATGATGATCGAATCGTAGAAATTCCAATAATGAGAAACGAAGATGAAGATCGGGTTATTCAGAAGAAAAGTAACGATAGAAAGGAAGGTGGTAATGATGAAATAAATAGTGGAGACGAGAAAAATGAATTGTTGGACGCGTTGCAATATGAAGATGAGAAATTAGAAGAGGCCGAAGGGTACTTTACAAAAGAAATTGTTAGTGAAGGAGAATTAGCAGAATCATCACGTCATGAGGCAAACCCAGCAACATATCTGGTGCAAGCCGAGGAGTATGTTGATGATGATGATACTCGGCGTAGGCAGACTATGAGGGATCAGGATGAAACAACAAAATCGGCACCTAAAAGTACGGAAGATGAGAACGAGTGGAATCGTTTAAATATGGCGATTCGAACTGAGGAGCAATCCGATGATGAGAATGCCGAAAACGAACCCGACTGTCCTGCATTCCTAGTACAATTAGAAGAACTACCGATAAAGGATGATGAGCAACAAAAGGAAACCATTGAGGAAAGAATAAGCAAAATTGGTACCCAGGAAGAAATGGATCGGGAACAACAGGAAGAAGCAAAAGCGTACCTGAAGCAGGAAAGCAATGTTTTTACGAAATCGATCCAGGAATTGGGATGCACCGATAAAGTTTACCATGAGATTAGCACTGGTAATGATAGACCAATAAAGCAAGCTGCTTACCGAATGGCACCTAGTATCAAGGATTTTGTAAAGCAAGAGCTCACTCAATTAAAAGAAAGAGGTTTGATCAACGAATCACGTAGCCCCTGGTCTTCGCCAATTGTAGTTGTGCCAAAGAAAGGAGGAAAATTGCGATTATGTGTTGATTACTGGAAGTTGAATGCTATCACTAAGAAAGACGCGTACCCACTACCACGAGTGGATGATCTTTTAGAGCTGTTTGTGAAAGCAAAATGGTTTAATACACTAGACTTGATGAGTGGATATTGGCAGATCGCCGTGAAAAAGGAAGATCGAGAAAAGACAGCTTTCGTGACACCGATGGGGATGTACGAGTTTAACGTCATGCCCTTTGGGTTATGTAATGCCCCGGCGACGTTTCAACGGCTAATGGACCAGCTTTTGATGGATTACATTGGAAAATTTATAGCAGTATATTTGGATGATGTAATAGTTTTCTCCAGTGCATTTAGAGAGCATTGTGATCATTTGAGTTTAGTTTTCGCGATATTTCGAAATGCAGGATTGAAGTTAAATCTGGATAAATGCGTTTTCTTTAAACAAGAAATCGGATTTTTAGGTCATATCGTTGATAGTGAAGGGATTAAGCCAGATAAAACTAAGGTGAAAAAGATTAGAAACTTTTCAGCGCCACGAGACCTCCGGCAATTGCGAAGCTTTATAGGACTAGCATCCTATTACCGAAAGTTTATTCGAGGATTCGCAACAATTGCTCGACCATTGTACCAGCTGACGAAGAAGCATATAAAGTTTAAATGGGGATGAGAACAAGAACAGGCATTCGCAATACTGAAGCAACACCTAACAACAGCACCTGTATTACGATACCCTGACTTTGATAAAACTTTTTATATTCACGCCGACGCATCAGGAATCGGGCTCGGTGCTGTGCTAGCACAAAAAGATGACAATGGTAAGGAATATGTCATCGCGTATGCTAGTAGGGGACTTACGAAACACGAACGAAATTATGCAGCCACTGAGCTAGAGTGTTTAGCCGTATTATAGGCGGTGGAACACTTCCATCATTACTATGGGATGAACCCATTCGTAGTGATCACTGATCATAGTGCACTACAATGGCTAAAGACATCAAAACTAATGGGAAGAAGGGCAAGGTGGATCTTATGACTCCAACCTTATAACTTTGATGTCAAGCATCAGAAAGAAAAGGAGCACAGCAACGCTGATGCGTTGTCCTGGCTCTAATATCAGAGAAAAAAAAAAAAAAAAAAAAAAAAAAAAAACAACATAGGGAAGATAACGGAAGTGAACATTGTTTTATTCTTTTAGCTTATATCTTTTTATTAACTTTCTTTGTTGTATGCGTATATGCTAGTAACAATGAACGAAGACCATTACATGCACTTAATGAAATATTTGAAGGCACGGAAATTGCCAAACACACTCGACGCAAGAGAAAAACAAAGGATACAGAAGAAGAGCGAATTCTTTGAATTCAGGGATGGAATTCTATATCGAAAAGGACGTAATAGGAGCCAGTTATTACAAGTTGTACGTCAATATGAAGTAGAACCAATTTTATTTATGATGCATCACCATCCCTTGGGAAGTCATTTTAATCGAGATGCAATGTTTGAGAAAATTCGTAACGTATACCATTGGCTTAAAATGTACACCGACATTGAAGCTTATGTACAACGATGCGATAAATGCCAACGAAGGGGGAAAGCATTGGTACCCGGACTGTTGTGTCCCTTACCTGTGACTGCGCCGTTTTATCAAATTGGAGTTGATTTTGTAGGACCCCTACCACAGACACCCAGACTACAGCGTTATATTATCATAGCCATGGATTACATGACCAAGTGGCCCGAAGCTTGAGCAGTAGAAAGAGCGGATGCCGAAACTGTAGCTGATTTCCTGTACAACGATATCATTTGTAGGCACGGATGCCCATCCAAGATTATAACGGACAGAGGCACGCATTTTAATAATAATGTGGTGAAGAAGTTAACACGGAAACTTGACATCAAGCATAAGATGGCTACACCATACCATCCACAAACTAACAGACTGGTCGAACGGTTCAATAGAACCTTGTGCGAAGCCATAGCTAAATTAGTAACAAATGTCACAGATTGGGATTTGTTAATACCATCAATTCTTTTTGCGTATCGAACGGCAAAACATACTACAACTGGAATGTCTCTATTTTATTTGATGCACGGGAGAGAAGCAAGACAGCCAATAAGCTCCGGCGTGCCTGAAGACTTGTTAGAAGGAACGATTATTCAAAGGACTTTTGATCTTGTAACTCAGTTCCTGGCCATAAGAGAAAAGGCTATGAGTAATATACGAGACACACAAGTGAAACAAAAATTATATCATGATACTCACCGAAAGCTTGCGATAGGTTTTAATATTGGGGATAAAGTTCTACTATATCATGCTGCTAAGGAAAGTTCGCGAAGTGAAAAATTTGCGGACAAATGGAAAGATCCATTCTACATACACGATCAGCTTCCTAATAATGCGTATAAGTTAAGAATACTTCAAGGAAAAGTTTTACTTATACCTATAAATATTAAGATCCTGAAGAAGTACCGTGAATGATCGAATCTTTGTCGAGGACGCCAAAGATAAGCGGAGGGGAATGTTAGTCCGGTAAAAGTCACATGGTATAGTCGCGTACCATGATCGGCGTGGCGCGTACCCTGAAAATTGTAGAATAGCATTAATAATC